GAAAAGGCAGACAACCTTATACTCCACAAATCCTTTGCACCTTTTCCCGTTCTCTGTGTGTACCTAGTGGTTGCATACACAGAGGAGAAGAGAAAGAAGGGAGGAAATGAAAGGCACTGTAAAACATAAAGGAGCGACCTTGAAAACATTTTCTTATTATCTCCTCAAATCTAAAAAATTGAGATAGATTGAGTAAAATAATTTCCTTACCACCCAAAAAAGGCTATTTTTCTCTATTACTACAAAAACAATTTAAAAAATAGATTAAGTTTGAAAGCTGCATAGCTACTTCCTGTCTTCTTCTTTCTGTGTTGTCTTATTTTCAGTGGAAAGAAGACCTTTCATAAAGGATTGGGACAAGGTCATGAATCAATGAATGTTGAAAGCTGTGCACAGACTGTTCTACTTATAACAAAGAGAATAAAATATGCCATTTGTCAGAGTTCATACATAATTTCAATATTGAATGTGAGCCAACCACTCTTTCCCTAACTGATTAGGGATGTTATTGACAGACACAGCAGCCCCCTCTTGTGATTAAACATGTGAATGCCTTCATTCAGATCCCAGACAAATCAGAAACCTGCTTTTGTAAAGATATGGGGAAGAATAGCTTATGTGTGCTTATTATGTAGCAGAGAAGATGATCAGTTTTGGTCAGAATGACTGCAGTGTGACAGGAGAATCTTTGCAACATTAACAGAGTTTTTGCTTTTTCTTATTTTTTAAAAACCACATGATCTTTCCTCCCTTCAGGCAGTTGGGTGATTCTCTACTTATCACTTCAGTGAAAGGACATACAGCTGAAAAAAGAAAATAAAGATGCCTTTCTTACCATTTTGCTTCAAAGTTTCAGCCATGTAGGCAAACGAAACGATCTAGCATAAACTATAGTTTTAGAAGATACAATGAAATAATACAAGTTTTCCCAACTGAGACAAAAACAAACCAAAACATTTTCTAAGTGGAGTAGAGGAGAGAGAAAAGAGTATCAAAGAAAAGTAAAGTGGCTTAAGAGTGGGTGAGGCCCTTTGGAAGGATGCTGAATCTTATCCCCTTAAAGACATCCTGGAAAGAAAACCACAAGACCACGGGGTCACTTGCAGTTATTAAATAAATCTCTGTGCATCCCTGTTTAAAATTTTCATCTTCATCTTTCCTTTAGCCTTGAGCCTTGAGCCTTTAGAACTTGAGCCTTGACTCCTGGCTACACTGAGGTCAGCATGGCCTTACTCTGTTTACTTACTCCCCCTTTTCTCTATGGTTCTAGAAAAAGATTAAAGAAGAAAAAACAGCAGGAGCTGCTTCCCTGGCCAACCGCTGACAGCCTCTGTGTGATGAAGGTCTTCCCTGAGAGAGCACCAGAACCTCAGAGGCCTCCTCCAGGCAGGGGTTTTCCCTTCTTGTCAGCTCCCTCTCAAGGAACACTTTCCAGAACTCCTTACTGTTTCTTCTCCTAGGTGGATCATGGACAGGTCAGCTCAGGCCCTGCTGCCCTCAGAGGTGTCACTTGCCTAACAGAGTACTGGCTGCTCCTCACCATGCCTTCTCCAGGAGGCCACCATGCCTTCACCCAGTGGCCCCATTGCCATCCCTCTCCACTCCACCACTGTTCCCCAATGTCCTTGTCTTCTACTTCAGTGGATCAAAATCTGCTTCAGAAGCAGATATCCAAAGACAGAAGGACATGAAATTTTATTATTTATTCAGGTGACCTTTGACTTTTAAAACAATTATTTTGGTATATTAACCTGTCAAGTGGCTTGCAGAGGAAAAGGGACACTGGTGACACTCACCTCTTGACTCCCCCCATCCCTCACACCAGCCAAGGGGTTGAAGGTCTGGGGTCGCAGAGCCTGTTCAGTTGCTACTTCTTAAATCCTAGAGTGTCAGGCTGTGAAAGTGGTGGATGCCTAATGCTCCTGAGTCCCTAGCTTTGGATCCTACTAGCCACATTCATGATAATGGAAAATGTCCCACAGTACATCTAAATGGGAAAAAAAATCTGTTTGGTTCTATAAGTCACTCTTAGAGAACCAAACAGAATCCCTATAATGATAAGAAACCCTATAGTTAAGGGCTTCTAATTATTCAAAAGAGAAAATAAAAATGTATACATATATAATCCAATAATTATGTTATATAAAATATAAGATATAGATTATAAATATGTGGGGGAGCTTTGTCCACAGAGCCTCCCTATCCACCACGGATGAGAATAAGTCTACCAAGACATGATTTGCTTGGAGAGGAAAGGTGGCCGATTTCTCAAAGGAGAAGGACCAGGAACCTGTTCCTCAATGGGCTTTTTATTGGGTTCATTTGCACAGGAATACAGATAAAGCTCATTAATCATTGTCTGGCAGTAAGGGTCAAACAATAGATAACAAAGAACTCCGAGGGCCTATTTTGAGTCTGGGTCAGATAGCTAAAGAGCTGTAAAACTTTGAGGAACAAACTTACTTCTTGCTTGGACCCTTATCATTTAATTGACAGCATTCTAAACAAAGCAGGTTTCACAGGATGTTACATATTCTTTCTTAGGCCTGATTCCCCAGGGAACCCGCACAGGGGTTTCCAGCACAGGGCTGCACTGCCCTCTGTCATTGTTTCAGGCTTAGGTGGAGCAAGGGAAGTAAGGCAGCCAGAAGATTAGGAGATTTCTCGCAGACGGAATGAGAACTCAGGCTTTGTCAAAGCCAAGGGGACGAGGGCCCATCACCCCCCTTTTTGCTGTAGCCCCCCCCCCAAGTCCTTCCTTGGGGGCCTCCCACGTGATTGTGCCTGTCTGAGGTCATTCCCCCCTTTGGGGAATCTTACCCATCATTGGCTAATTGACCAAGCATTGGGGGCCAGGCAGGGTGAAGTAAAAGGAGCAGAAGTGGCACTCCTGCCAGGGAGATAAGCTTTGTCTCCTTGATGGCTTACAGTCCAAGGTCACTCCCTCAGCCTTAGCCTTGGTGCGGGTTTCAGCTTCTGAAACCAGGCAGGGTGGTTCCCAACATAAATATATAAATATAAATATATTACAATAAAATATATTCCAATTATACTGGTAATATGAATTAATACTATATAGTGTCCTTAGGAATCTTTCTGGCAACAAGCAGGGCAGGATTTGGCCACTCTTAGATCCCGGTCAATATCACCATCTGACACAAAATCCCCATTCAAATGCATATTAGAAAATATTTTAGTTAAGTAATAATGACCATATGATATATCAAAACATGGGGGATGTAGCTAAGGCAATATTTAGAGGCAAGTTTGTAGACTTAAATGCATTTGTTAGGAAAGAAGAAAAGTTGAAAATCAATGGTCAAACTTGCAACTCAACAAAACTAGAAAAAGTAGCTAGTTAAATTCAAAGAAAGTATATAATAAAATATGAACAGAAAAAAATAAAACATAATTTATCAATAAGAGAAAATCAAACATATAAAGAATCCCTTAGAGGTTAATTTAACTGAATCTATAATTTAATAAAGCTGTCTCATAAGTGAAGTGTTATACTTGGATAGCTTCACGAGTGAATTTTCTGAAAAAATTTTAGAAATAAAAAAAATCCTACACAAATTCTTCTATAGGTTGAAAAGGAGAAATAAATTGCAACTCATTTTATGGCTCATTATAATATTGATACTAAAATCTGGCAGAGACATTGAAAAGAAAAAAGTTGAATACCAGTATTATTCAGGAACATGGAAACAAAACCTCAACAAAATACTAGCAAAAAATGTTGCAGTATGAAAAGGAAAATATAACATTACTAAGTGCATCTTATTCCAGAAATTAAAGTTGGTTTAAAATTTGAAAATCAGTATAATTTATAGCATTAATATATAATCATCCCAGCAGATAAAGATACCAATAATTTGATAAAATTTATTTTATATTTATGATAACAACTCTCAATTAATTAGAAATCAAAACGAGACTCTTTAATAATCAGATTACATAAAGGATATTTACCAGAAAAAGAACACTGTAATTAACAGTCACAGTGAAATACTGAATGCTTCACTTTTGAGGTTAGAAATAAGGAGATTTCTAGTCAATAAATTTCGTAGGTGATCCTAGCCAGATAAGTAGAGCTTGCTAAGTAATTTGTGGGGCCCACTGAGAAATGAAAATGCAGGGCCCTGAGTGGGACAGTGAGGTCAACCACCCTTCCCACAGGCCTGCCACCCAGACCTGTAGAGCACTGGTGGGGGACTAGAAAGCTTCTGGGTTGGTGAACACATAGGGGTGCAGAGAGAGTGGTGCCCCGGGAGGGCATAGAAGCTCTGTCTCTTCCTTATACCCTGCCCTAAGCATCTCTTCCATCTGGATGTTCACCTGTGTTCTTTACTGAATTTTTTTAATACAAATAAAATTTATTTTCTTAAAAAAGGGAAGGGAGACTGATGAGAATCTCTGACGAGAAGAAAAGTGGAAAATGTCCATTGGCTTTATCAACATCAAAGCCACTAGTGTTAATGTGAGGGCTTCTGTTGGAGGGGTGCCACCGGAGGCAAGGTTCCAGTGGAGTGAGGAATGGGAGTTGAGAAAACAGAGACAAGTAGACAATTCTTTTATGTACTTTGATTATTAAGGAGAAGAGAAATGTAGAAATGTGGCTGGTGGAGATGGAAACTTCAAGAAGACTGTATTTAAGTGGAAAACATTCACTTGTAGACATGTGACCAGATTATTATAAGAGAATCCAAAAAACCAAATTTTAGGGAATAGTGTATTCCTATGCAGTCTCTTTTCAAGTGGCCCAAGATGAGAAATCAAGCCTGTCCACATCACAGCTCTCCCGTCTGAGTCTACATGAAGGAAAAGGACTGCCCCAGGAAGATACACAAAGGGACTGTCTGGGATACCTAGACAGAATGAACAGTAATCTCTGCCATCTGGCTATGTCACAAGATTTCATTCTCCATAGGACCACTTGGAAAGAAGTTCTGGGTGCTAAGTAAATACTTCATCGAGGAGGAAAAACAGCAGAGATGCCGTTATTCCAGAGGCTCAGCTGCAGGGTTTTGGTAGAGGGTGCAGGTGCCTGGGGAGCACTGTGCCTCCACAGCACAGAGGTAAGTGGCTGAGTCTTCAGCTTTAGGGGTGTTGATGTGCAGAGAACTCCCCTTCTCTGAAAGCATAGCCGTTAGTCTCTCATTCTGCTGTTCTTTCCCAACTGAATACAGGTTGAAGAGGAATTTGGGGCCTTTCCCAGGATCTTGCCTGTACCACTGCAGTGCTCTGAAAGCGCTGACTGTGTAACTGCATTTGAGGCTGACACTCTCTCGTTCCTGGATCCTCAGGGTCTGAGGACTTTGCTCCACCTGGTCTTCTCCACTCAACCCTGTTCAGGAAACCAAAATAAAAAATGAGACAAAGCTTTGAGTTCAGCAGTTTTGAAAAATCCCAATGAGAATTTTGAGAGGAGCTGAGACTAAACCACTGTCTTACTTTCCCACTTTTGGATAAATGGGTGCTTATAGTTCTCATCCCTGAACCTCTAACTTACAGCCAAGCTGAAGCCACAAGAGTATCACTGCATACTCCAGCATGCTCTCCATCATGATATCTGTCTTGACACAACTTGTAATGATTCCAAAACTTCTCTGAGGAGCTGTTTTTATGTCTTGTTCTTGTTCTCTCATGCTCAAGAGAGCGTTTCTGTTGGTGGGTGAGCCAATCAGGAGCAAATCCTCTAGTAACCATCCTGCTTTCAACATTTAAGGCATTTGTGAAATGAGAAGAACAGAACCACTGCCACCTCATGGTCACAAACACACTCACATGGTACCCACTTCATGCTACCTACAAAGAAAAAGATTGATGGAAGGACATTTTGGTATTTGGTGGTATAGATGAGCTTTAAAAAATAATCAGAAAAGACTTTTCTTACTTGTACTTTTAATTGTTTCATTGTTCCTATATAGCCTTTAAAACTGAACTACTAACAGGTTAAAGGAGTTGAACCCAAGTGTGGATATAACTGATTATGCTCTCTTTATAATACACAAAAATCTCAACAGGTGAAATCTTAAAAGAACTGGAGTACTGAGAGAAAGAAAAATTAAATAGGTTGTGGATATGTCTAGAAACCTCTTTGACAGAGAATTGAGAACATAAGTTAACATATCTATTTCTTTTTTATTATTTATTCTGTTAAATTTGTCCCAATTTCTTCCCTTTAGCGCCCCTCTACCCAGACCACCCCTCTCTCCCACAACCTCCTCTCTGTTGTCCTTGTCCATGAATCATTCACACATGTTCTGTGATTAAACCCTTCCCCTTCCTGCCACCATTTCTCTCCTCCCTTCTCCCCTCCTACAGCAATCAGTCTGTTCCATGTTTTCATGTCCCTGGTTCTATTTTTCTCATTAGTTTATTTTGCTCACTAGATTGCAGTTATAAGTGAGGTCATATGGTATCTGTCTTTCACAGATTGGCTTATTTCACTTAGCATAACAGTCTCCAGTTCCATCCATGCTGTTGTCTTATTCAACATAGTACTGGAAGCTCTGGCCACAATGATCAGACAAGAAGTAAAAGGCATCTAAATTGGAAAAGAGGAAGTAAAATTGTCATTATTCACAGATGACATGATAGTGTACATAGAAAACCTAGTAGTCTCCACCAAAATATTACTTTACCTATGAAGAGAATTTGGCAAAGTAGCAGGATATAAAGTTAATATTCAGAAATAGATGGCTTTCTTGTACACTAACAATGAATTATCAGAGAAAATAAGAAAAAAAGCCCATGTACTACAGCAATAAGAAAATTAAAATACCTAGGAATAAACTTAACCAAGGATGTAAAAGACCTGTATTTGGAAAATTATAGAACTTGGAAGAAATAAATTGAGGAAGCATACATAGAAATGGAGGCATATACTGTGTTCATGGATAGGAAGAATTATAATCATTAAAATGTCCATACTACCCAAAGCAATCTATAGATTCAATGCAATTCCTATTAAAATACCAATGGCATTTTTCACAGATCTAGAACAAATATTAAAAAACTTTATATGGAATCAAAAAAGACTCCACAGAGCCTCAGCAACCCTGAAAAAGAAAAACAAAGTAGGAAGGATCACAATACCTGATATCACACTATAAACTATACTACAAGGACACTGTAATCAAGGCAGTCTTGCATAAGAGCAGATAGATAGATCAATGGAACAGCATAGAAAGCCCAGAAATAAACCCGTGTCTCTATGATCAATTAATATTTGAGAAAGGGGACAGAAGCATACAAGGGAGTAAAGATAGCCTCTTCAACAAATGGTGTTGGGAGAACTGGACAGGTACATGCAAAAAAAATGAAACTAGACCACCAACTTACACCATACACCAGAATAAACTCAAAATGGATAAAGAACTTAAATATAAGTTGTGATACCATAGAAGACATGTGTTTCTTCAAATATTAAATGCCTGGCTACAGGGACCAAGTGTGACCAAAACTCAGGGTCACAAACTTGATAGATCTTAGGAGGCAGGGAAAGAAGAGCATGCAGAAGGAAAAGAACTCCATTTCTAGAACTCAGAGAGATCAGAAAATCACTGGGAGGGTGACTAGTATCCATGTAAATCATAAACATTTTACATACCATAAGTAACATATAACAGTAGTCTTCCTTCTTCATTTATCTTTTACTACCACAGTTTATTCACAGAGGCAAATATCTGAACACACATGCACACACATTCATTATTTTCAAGCAAACCTATATTCTCCATTCTGTGCTGTGCTTTTTTCTTATGTAAAATAGCCACATGTCATGCCATTATATGGATATACCAAATTTTACTTAAGCAGTTTTGTATTTTAGATTTCTGATCTTTTACTACCATATATTACACTGAAATAAATATCCTTATACAAACATTTTTGCCAACATGAACATAAAATTTATTAAAAGTATAAAACTATGAAAAACTATACATTTTTTATTTAACAAGTATTGCCAAATGCCTCTAAACATGCAGTGGCAATTTACACATTTACAATGTTCCTGAGTACTGGTTTCTCCACTCCCTTGCCACCCCATTATATAAGCAAACTTCTCTAGCTTTCTTACTTCAATAGGTGAAACATGCTAATTCAGAGTATCATGTTCAATTTCTCTATTGTCAGTAAAGGTGGTTTTTAAAAAATAATTTAACTCTATTTGCATGCATTTATTTAAAAGGTCTGTGGAGTCAGAATAACAGAGAGAACACTCTAGCCCTATGGTTTATTTGCTGTGAGATTCTGAGCAAGTTGCTCACCGACTATTACGTCATTTTCTCAACTGAGTAGTTCAGAAAGAATAGTACACGCATGATAGAACTGCTGCATCACTTGAAATATATATGGAGATAGATAGCAGATAGATGAGACATAAAATAGAAATGGCTAGAACATAAAAAACATGGTTAATATTAGCTATTATGTTATTAATGCAATTTTCTTTTGGAGAAGTAATCTTATTGGTTTGTAAAACTCTTTCCATATTTAAATTACATTTTCTCTATTTTTTGTATCTTTGATTCCATTTTGCATTTAATTTTAGTTTTTGTTGGTGTTTTGCCATGTTGAATTGCTTCATATATAATATTTATTGTTTATTCAAATGTATGCACTTTATTCTAACTTCTAAAGTTTGAGCCTTGCTTAGAAAGTCTTAACAAACTCCAGGACTATTTTTTGTAAATCCTGAGGATTCTTATTACATTTGAAATTTAATACTTCAGGTTTACAATTTGGAATTATTTCAATCTAAAAAGCAAAGTAGGGGTTTGATTTTTTAAAATGGCTCATTAATTGCCCCAACATTATCTGCTGAATATATATATAGTTTATAAAATGTGGCCTTTCCCCAATATTTCCAGAACTCACCTGGCACCATACGTAGTTATTACAATATTATTCACTATATTCCTTATGCTGCCTGTGCTTTATGTCCCCCTATTTTGTAACTACCAATCTGTACTTCTCAACTCCTTCACCTTTTTCACCCAGCACCCCAATTTCCCTCCCATTTGGCAACCATCAATCTGTTCTCTATATCTATGAGTCTGTTTCTGTTTTGTTTGGTCTATTAAATTTTTGTTTAGATTCCACACATAAGTGAAATCATATCATATTTCTCTTTCTCTGACTGAATTATTTCATTTAGCATAACATCCTCTAGATTCATCCATACTGTTGCAATTGGTAAGACTTCATTCTTTTAAATTTGCATTTATTTATTTATTTATTTATTTTGGATACAAATTATTTACTTGGATTATCCAAGGTACCCACAAACCTGGCATAGCATAAATGTTGAAAGACAATCACAAATTTCACTACAATTAGAATTGCTTTATAGTCATTTGGTTTTTAATTAAATTTATTGGGGTGACATTGGTTAATAAGATAATATAGGTTTCAAGTACACATTTCAATGATACATAATCTATGTATTGTGTTGTGTGCCCACCACCCAAAGTCAAATTATCTTCAGTCACCATGTATTTGGCCCTCTCTACATTTTACTACCTCATACTCACTCCACCCCTCTTCCCTCTGGTAACCACCATACTGTTGTCTGTGTCCAGCATTCCCTCTTCTGAATATCTACCTGAAAAAATTTGAAAACGTACATTCATAAAGATATATGCATCCCTATGTTCATTGTATCATTATTTCACGATGGCCAAGAAATGGAAACAACCAAAGTGTTCTTTGATGGGTGACTGGATTAAGAAGATGTGGTACATATATACAATGGGATACTACTCAGCAATAAGGAAAGATGAAATACTGCCATTTGAGAGAACATGGATGGACCTCGAGAGTATCATGCTAAGTGAAATAAGTTGGGCAGGAAAAGTTAAGAACCATATGATTTCACTCATATGTGAGATACAAAACGTAAAGCAACAAATGAACAAACAAGAAAAACAAATTTGCCTTCATTTTTAAAGGATATTTTGTCTGGCAATAGAGTTCTAAGTTGTCAATTATTTTTCTTCCTTTTTAAGATTTTATTTATTCATTTATTTTTATAGAGAGGGGAAGGGAGAGACAAAGAGAGGGGAAGGGAGAGACAAAAAGACGATGTGTGATGGAAACATCAGTTGGTTGCCTCTCACATATGCCCAAACCAGGGGCCAGGCCTGCAACCCAGGCCCATGTGCCCTAACCAGGACTCAAACCAGTGAACTTTTGCTTTGCAGAACAACACTCCACCAAGTGAGCCATGGCAGCCAGTAAACTATTTTTCTTTTAGCACTTTAAATATATTGTTTCATTGTCTTCTGGTTTCCTTTGTTTTGAGTAAAAAAAAAAATCAGTCATTACTTGCATTAGTGTTCCTGCATGCAGGTAATGTATCTGTCTTTTTCCAGTGACTGCTTTTAAGATCTTTATTTCATTTTTTAACAGAATTTTTATTGTAATAAGCCTTCATGTGGCCTTCTTTGTATTTATCATAATGGGGATCATACTGTTCTAAAAGAAGTAAAAAAAGTGACATTAATTCCAACATGCCAGACCCACAGTCATGACTTATGGTAATTTGCTCTCAAAGTTTCTGCCTCCAAACACCTTTACATTGGGAGTTAGCAATCCAACAAAGGAGTTA